GGGGGTGGCTTTTGAAGCCGGGCCCCCGCCACTCCTTGTCCCATTCCTGTCGGGTTTCCACGGAGCGATCAGCAGCGAAAAGCTGCTTCCCACTCAGATTAATCTAGTGTCCAGCTCCATGCTGAATATTGCTTTTTAATAATGAGGCGAAGGAAGAGTTTGCTAAATGTTCGCGTAACAGTGCTGCCGCAGACCTGCCTTCGCCTCCTCTGATTTGTGCCCGTTGGCAATATTTTGTCCCCACCTGCTTCCCACCGTGTTGCTCTTGTCACCGAGAATCTCACATAACCACAGCTTTGGGTTCAGCCTCTGATGATCAGGGGGCCGGTTAGCTCAGTCAGTTGAGCGTGGCGCTGACAACGCCAAGGTCGCGGGTTCGATTCCCGTTCGGTCCCCATGTGTTGCCTGATCTAGTCAAGAGGTGGCGTCCCTGGCGACAGGGAGGTTGGATTAAAATGATCTCTAAGGTCCCTTCCAGCCTAGGGCATTCTATGATGCTGCGGTTTTTCACTTTTTGTAGCTGGTGCCTTTCCCCGGGGCAGCAGGGGTTTGGGATGTACAGGCTGCGACATCAGCGCTTTTCTCCCCAGTGCCTTCAGCTTCTCGAAGTTCCTTTTAATTCAGGCTTTCATGTAGACATGAAGTAGTAAGGACCATTTCCTAACGGCACCTCGAGCAATCCTGTAGCTCATCTATTACTGGCTGGTTACTCTGACCAGTAGAACAAGAGGGAACGGCTTCAAACTGCAGCAGGGCAGGGTTAGACTGGACATGAGGAAAAATTTGCTCACAGCAAGAGTAGTGAGACATCGGCACAGGCTGCCCAGGGAGGGGGTTGAGTCCCCATCCTGGAGGTGTTTTAAAGTTCGCCGAGATGTGGGTTTGGGGGAGATGGTTTAGGGGTGAGCTGCGTAGAGTTAATGGTTGGACTCGATGATCCCAAAGGTCTTTTCCAATGTGAATGATTCTATGATTTTGTGATACTCTGTGCTAACTTCTAAATATACTTATTTTTAGGTCCACCAAATCCCACAGGGAGACAGACAAGTGAAGCCTCCAAAACCCAAGAGGAGGAAGATCTCTAGATAACATTGAATGTCTTTGTTACTGGTCCAGTACTTATCGAAATGAACGTGCACATAAGTCTGTATGTAGGTATTGATATAGTCGTGGTTATATCAATATTTATATGAAGACAGATAGATGCCATCGCAGGGTGCTACGCGGATTAGTGGTACAATATTTTTGATGATTAGGAGGGGTAGGTGTTGCTGGATAAGCCAATCAGAAATCTGGAAAGGTTGCAGTAACAATGTCAGATGATTACTGAAATTTTTTTTTTCTATAATACTAAAAATTGTGATTATATGAAATAGTCCAAATGTTTCTGAGAAATTTTCATTGTGTATATAGATAATACAGAATTTCATGGTGATATCTGAAATGTAAATATTGTACAATATTGTCATGTACAAGCGTACCTAATGCACACTTTATCTTTTATTGTACAAAAAATAGTGTACAAAATTCTTTGGTTTCTATTGAGTACACATACAAGAGACTACCAGTGTAAAGTGATAAATAAAAATACAGCCTAAATGCTTTTATATGATAATGTAAAAGATGCTGTTTTTGTATTTAACAGCAGAGAGAAGGCATGATTATGTAATACCTTAATTATGACATACACTTCACGCCACTGAGTGTTCATTGATACTGTCTGTTTGGAATGAACCTTGCCTGGAAGTACTGTACTCCTGCTCAGGTCTCTGTAGGAGAGTGCAACCTTGCAGATTCCTAACGGGATGTGGGATCACAGCTCTTTAATTAATAATTCAAAGGCCGCAGCCGTCGGTTGCATTTTTATTTACGTAGCTTTTCGAGTAGAATGCTGTAGATTTTATTAAAAAGGAAGAAAAAACCAAACAAAAAAAGAAAGTAGACGGGCTATTTTAGTCAACCATTTCTGTAGGTAAAGTTTCATAGCCACCTGATAAACTAAACAGTTTATATCCCCCGTAACGTTGACCCCTCAAACCCCCTAGATTTATTAGCTTAAATTATCTAACGTCATTAACCATCATGTTTACTTTGAAGGGGGCAGAGGCCCTGCTTTAACGATGTGATCAGTATTGATTACGGTTTGGTTTTGCAGTAGAATGAAAGGGCAAGCTCCGCAGCGTTCGTCAAAGTAATTCCAGTATCCATCTCGCAGTATTAAAACAAGAAGAAATTAAGGGTGGCTTACAAAACTATTAGCGACAGTAATTTTTATCAGTGTTATGTAACATATCAGATTTATTTTATTTAAAAAGAATTATTTATACCATTAACAGATTCTTATATATATTAATGTGGCTGAAATGTGCAGGTTAAATCTATTAACCAAATTATTTATGTTATATTAAGTGAGAAATGTGAAACATATGTAGAAGAAAATTAATACACTACAGATTTAAAAGTCTAAAGCTATGAGCCATTATAAAATGAACGAACGGAAGTGTAGCACAACATTATCTCCATTTTATTTCATTTCCCTTTTTAACACGGATGGTGGCAATGGCAATGGAAGCAATGACAGCCTCCGGCGTCACGGCTTCCCCCAATAACTCCCAGCTCACCATTCCCCGTCCCGGGGTGGAGCCCGTAACCCCCACCTCGCCTCCCCGGGACCACCGCTTACCTCAGATCTCCGTTTCCCCCAGATGGCACTCTCTAGCTAAGGACCGGCCGTGATCACCATCCTGATGCCCGGCACCAGGACCACGAGGTGTTTGCTCCTCTTCCCCGGCCCCTCTCTCGGGAGGACGGGACCCCGGAGCAGCCGT